TAAAAACATATTAAAAATACCGTAAAAAACTCCTCTAATTTTGGCCCTATAAAAATCTGTAAGATGCTGGGGGGGGGGGCAACCCATCACCCCACCAGCCATCTCCACAGGTGCGGGTCCCTGTATAGTATAGTTAGTAATCATTATAGTATAGTTAGTAATCATTAGCTATAGTATAGTTAGTAATCATTTATAGTTAGTAATCATTCTCAACAGTTAATAAAGCCAAACAATGGGCCCACCCACGCTATCAGAGCCCCAAGCTTGGCTACAAAACCAGGTCTTTAGGTTGGTCAGTTTCGTTGCTGTGAAACCACGTAAGCATCTTGTGTCCCTTTAAGGACTAAGATACAGTCTTAACTTTAAGGACTGAAGGGAACTGAGTTTGCTTATGCTCATGATGTCATACACTATAATCCATTGAAAGCTTAATCAGCCCATAAGGTGCCCAAAGACCCTTGAATTCATGTAGATTGCTGTAGCCCCTCACAGGAGTTGGAGGAAGAAGGCAAGGGGCAAAGTGGGATGTAAAACCCTTCAGCTTTTATGGAAAGAACGTGACAGATGGACCTCTTCTCTGAGGTTCGGTGGGGAGATGTTTAAATAGCTGGCCATTCTTTCCCTTTGATCTAAGGCTGGTTGGGGTCTGCTTTTTAATTCTGCAGTGGCTTTCACTCAAATCCAATCTTGGCCAGCTATGATTGTGGCTGAGCAACCAGGCCACAAGGGGCCTTTATACTATCTTCCCAGGGCTCAGATCCCCCACCCCCTTGTGGGTCTCATGGGTGCCTCTTTGCCACCCTTACCTGTTCAGTCTGTGGGCAGCTGCAAAGGTTGTAGTGCGGGACAGGAAAATGATCTTGTCCTGACGGCTCTCCATGTTTCTTTCAGGAGCCCAGTTCATAGGAGAAACTCTCCCGAGAGTCTGGTTAAATATCCCCACCAGCCCTCATGTGATCAATGTCTGAATGGAGGAAGGACTGCCCTAAGGAGCGTGATACCTGCTTATGCCTCCCCCACATCCAGCAGTTAATTCAGCATATCTCCTTCTCTCTAAATGCCAGGGAAGATACAACTCTTATCTTAAACTGGGGAATTAGCCAAGGTTCACCAATGGCAAGGCGAGTTTGGCTGAATTCCCATTGCATACAAGCTCTAACAGGGTTGGTTCAACATGATGCGTGTTTATCAAATCATGTTTAAGATGCCATGCTTAGCTCAAGTTTAGGCAGAAATGTTTGGAAAAGGAGACAATATTTGGGTTTCTGGATTAAGTCAAAGACATTCTTCTGGAATAAGATCATGCTCCTTGGTGCTGAAGAGCTTACTGAAAACTGTTATCATGTTAGTAACACAAATAAATGAATATGAGTGTTTAGATGGGACACTAGCTGAAGTTTTTATTCTTGACAGATCTGCATTGATTTGCACAGAGTGTATAAAATCAGCTTTACATTCTGCATGGGTGTCTGTGTCTGTATTTATTTTCTTTAGCTAGGAAAGGGTTAGGATATGAAAAATTCTTAATAGTGTTTTGTAGTTTCCTAGGCAACAGGAACATAGGAAAACCAACTGAGCATTCCCTTTTCAAACTTGGAGGGAGGAAAAATACTCTTAAATGTTTCTCACCCAGATGAGTATTTTATCCATATCTCAGGGACTCAGTATCAGCCTTGGAAAAATTCCACTCCATAATCTCTTCTGAGAATGCTTCAGCTTGTGAAGAACGCTAGGAGCCACCAGCTGAAGGAGTTTCATGGATTAATTTCCAGGCTTCAAGAGACTGCCCAATTAGATCTGAGCTAGTTTTGAGTTGAAAAATATTCTCCATTAGTCTAAGGATCTATCATGATATTGTCAGCAAAATGTTCTAGAACTGACAAGGAGTCTCAGAACTGACAAATCTGAAAGCAACCAAAAGCTGGACTGGTCCTACCATTGTGCAGTTGCCTCAAGCGACAATTGTTCATTGGTGACACCAAGATGTTGAGGGTGAAAACAATAAACCATGAGACCTCAGTTCTGCCTATGGTGACAGGTTATGGGTCAAGTAAAAAATAAACAGAAAGTCTCCTAGGCTTTCTCTCACCGCAGGCATGCCAAGTATTGTTCAGTCCATGCTGAAGCTCTGGATCACTGTTGCCCAGAGAAAAAATGTGGATGGTCTAGGGTCAAATGCACCTATTATAGCAGTTAGTTCAGCCCAGGTAGTCCCCTTTTGCCTGATCTCCCTGAACAATGTCCCAAATAAACCTGCCTTCCTCTTTCTCTCAGTGTCATGCCTGTTTTGTGTTCATTGTACACAAGAGGTACATTTTGGCTGCTCCTCATAAGTTCTCAATCAACTGTGGATATTCAACTTTTTAAAAAGTCCTGTAAATGAATACTTTTTTTTAAAAGTAGAATAATGCTTTGGCTCTTTTAACTTGATTTCTTATCTTTTAATTTTTAATGCTTCCATTTTTTAATCTACTATGAAACTTCCTAGCTGGGAACGCATGTAAATTTTCATCCCTATTTCAGGATGGTCCTAATCAGGCCTCCAGACTCTTTCTGTAATAATCCCTCCCTGTAGAAACACTGGTTTGGGGTGGAAGAGGCATGTTCAGGCATCAGCCAGACCTGAGACCCATTCCATGTAGGCATGAGATAAATAATAGAAAGGTGGGTAAGGAATTCTGGCTCGCCTACCAAGCAGGAGAACCCATTGTGCTAATGGAGAAAGAGGGAAATGCTGGGCAAGCAGGCTGGTTCCACTCTGGGCCTCCTACCACAGTGTTTCAGAGTCATGGAGAAACCCCTGGATGAAGGGTTCTGTAGGAGGACCACACCCCAGCCACTAGAGACAATGTTTCTCAACCTCCTTCCAACTTTACCAAGTTGAAGTTAAAACGGAAGGCACCATTTGCCCAAATGCTTGAAATAAAACAAAACTAAACTACACTAAAACCCACATTGATTAAAGACTATATAGTGTATATAGTCATTTCCATAGAAGTTGCTAATGAACCCACGCCTGGAATATAAAAACTCAGGTGAAGCCTAGAGTTCTGAACTAGGCTGAAGGGTTGTGCCAGCCCAGGTCAGAGAGTCTCCATGTTCAAACCCTGCTTCTTCCCAGGTTGTGAGTGTGTTGCAAGCCAGCTGAATCCTGTGATGTCTGTTTCTTGGGTTAGGTGTGATTGCTGGGTAATGGGAGAGATCATTTTGATGGGAGAATGAATGGGGAGGGAGGGTGCCTTCGAGAGAGCGTTTGAGCAATGCGGGAGAAGGAATTGAGCAAAGAGGAGAAATGAAAAAAGAGAAGGATTGGCAGCTGGCAATTCTGGGATCTAGTCAGTCAAAGGGCTGTGTGTGTGTAACCTAGATTTTGCAACACTGCTTAGCTGTTTACCTTTCTGATCACACCTCCTGTTTGTGAGAAAAAGAATGCAACTCTGAAGGGAAATTCATTCATTCATTTACTCTTTTGGCTTGAGCGTGAGAATCTTTGCCTGTCCACCCCTGAATCTGAGCAGTTTCCAGTGGTTTAAAAAGGAGTAACGAACCCCCTTCCCATTTTGTATTAGCCCAAGCCGGTGGTTATGGGAGTGAGCCTTGCTCAAATGCACACCCTGCGCATGTGGGGGTGTTGCTGTTGAGCCTGCACAAGCCCTGCTTACGGGCCACGACGTAGCTTTTCCAAGATGCACCTCTGCAAAGACAGAGCTACAAGGAAAGATTGCGAAAAGTTGGGAGCAACCCCTGTGTATGTTGACATGTTGACAGCTCACATGTTGAGCTGGCTTTGGGGGTAGGAAAGGAAGGAGTGAGTCAATAAGGGGGGACTTGCAGACAAGAGTTCAAACTCGAGGTGGTAGGAGGAATGAGAAAGAAACTCCCCATAGCCCCACCTTGATTTTGTTTAGTATCAGATGGGGCCCAGAGAAACTTGGCCAGCTTTTCAAGACTCTGTTATTCTACCTTGCCCCAATATAGAGAATGCCTGGAGTCCCTGCCTTACCTGTTCCTTGACCTTGCCTGCTTCGAAGGGGTGGTATAATCTTGATAGTCTCTCAAAGTTTCTCTTGGCTCCATCTACTGCTAAGTGAGATCAAGGCGGGGTTATCTTGAGTTTCTTTCTCACTCTTTCCTCTTTCTTAGGACTTAAGGCTTACTCATCCCTTCCCCATCCTCTACATTCCTTTACTCCCCCCCCCGAGCTCTTCTAGAAATTACTCTTCTATCTGCTCAAAAGCTGCTGTTGCTCACCCTGTTCGAACTCTCATGAGCCTGCAAATATACCATCCCTGATTTCAGTCTATGAGCAGAAAGCCAGTGAGGACACACAGTGGAACCACAACTAATGTGGACGTGGCTCTCTAACCAGCTCATTCTTCAGAGAAAATAAATCAGTAAGTCAACTCCCTTAAAGGGACAGTGTGTACAAAGACTAATTGGTTAGTGTTAACCTTGCTTGTTGTCATTTTTTTGTCATTTAGTGTGTGGTTAATTTGTGGGCCAACTGAGAAATTGGGCTAATTCAGGAACCAGATCCAGCAAGTTGTACAAATGCAGCAGGGCTTCAGGAAGGACTGCTGCTCCTTCAACAAACTCCACCGTGTCTGCAAGACCTGAATCCATGCTACTGCCTCTTCTGATCTGCTGACGGCTGCATCATCCTGCCCAAATTCTGCTCCAAAGGAAGCTTGCTGGAATTGCAACCCATTGATGTCAAGGGGTGTGAAGCCACCTCCCATTCTTTCCACAAGCCCTGGGTCTGCCCATCCTTTGGTGGAGCATGGCTTGTGAAGATGCGTCCAGACTCAGTTGGTTTGGTTCATGAGAACTGGTTGCTTGGTAATGTTTCTTTCCAGGTGGGGTGCCTTTCCGGTCTGCAGTTGGCGAGATGTGGATTGGCAGGGCAAAGGGACAGAGGCCCAGCCCCACTCAAGGTGCCTGGAAGTGCCAGTCTTGAAGTATCTGCGACCCACCACCCATGGAGCCAAGCAGGAGGAGGAACGACCTAGCTGGGGAAGCCATCTCTGAGAGCGTTGGTCTTCTGGCCACGCTTCCAGTTTCTCGCTGGCCCCGCCCTTCAGGCACTATTTGTCGTCTAAGATAGACAACACCCCCAGATAAGTGGGGTTCGGTGCCTCCATTCCTGTTCTATGTGCCAAGCAGAGAAATCAGCCCTCTTACAGAGTTTTCCATAATTCATGCCTGAATGTTATAAATAGAAAAGGAATGGTTTAAACATTTATGTCCTGCTTTCTGTGAACAAGTCACATTCAAGAGAGCTTCTAGTGCCTGCAGACATTTATCTAGCAAAGTTCTAACAACCAAATACAGCAACCTGAAGAAAAACGTGCATTCTCCTCTTCTGTTATCTCAGCTGGTGCAGATTCTGGTCCTTGAAGCTGGGGCGCTTGGAAAACCCACAACGGTTGATTTTCAGTTCACTGGCAAGTGACTAATTGGAGCCAGCTGGCTACAACTAATTCCTCGCTCCTCCCAAATTAAACACGGGTGCTTCGGCCAAAATGAGATAACGTTAGGGTAAGTCAGGCTGCAGCACTCGGCAGGATCTCCGAACGGAAGGGACAGATTTGGCTCCCCAACGATACACTTTTGGCTTCCATTTCACACACACACTCACACTTTAGGACTCTAGCTTGACTGCTGAGGCAGCCTGGCCCGATCAGGAGTCCTTCTGGCATGTTGAAAGCCATTTCCCATCATTCCCCAGCCAGCACGGCCACAGGTTGTTGAAGGATTGTGGGAAATAAGCTCTAGCCGAGTGTGTTTCAAGCCTGGGAGAAGCTGGGATCACCAACTGTGCCACCAAAATTTCACAGGGCAGGATGGGGAAGGGACGCTGGCCTGAATATTAGAAGCAACCCATCGGCTGCGTGCTCTAAACCCCACCTTTGCTGTTTCCAAATGTATTTTTCAAACTGTTGAAAAGCTTTATCAGTGTTTTGCCATATGCAGAGCGGACCTTGGACAACCAGAAGAAAAGAACAAAGGCAAATCTTAGCCAGCGAACAATTTAAAAATTAGACTAGCACCAAAAAAAAAAGTCTAATTTCATTCCGAGGCCCTTTGAGAGGTGACCTTGTTTACGAAAGGAATTTCTAAACATTTTAAAAGCCGACTGGAGAAATTGATGGAAGAGGTGACCCAGCAGCGTGCCATATGGCAGGGCTGAGCTGAACAGTGGGAGGGGGTCGCTATCTCCGTGTCATCTTTATGCTCTGTGGCTGGAGACCGTCAGCAATGGGACACCATTTCCACCGTAGGCTGGAAAGAGGCTTTGGAGCAGCTTAAAAACGATCTTCAATGTATGTAAACAATCGAGGACATCAGATGCCACCATGAAGTGGCTTGTCGTTTGCAAAAGCTGGGGGATTCTGGGAGTTCATGTCCACACATCTTCAAGTCGCCAAGGTTGAGGAACCCTGATCTAAAGAATGCTTGCTTGGATGTTAATGCTGCCAAAAATCAAGGAAATTGCTTCAGAGAAAAAAAATGCATAGGATGGGAGGATTAAAATGAATTATACGTTGGTTCACTTTCAGAAACAGAAAAGGCCCTCTGTTCTTGAGCGGAACCAGACTCTTCCTGTTCATCGATGAGCCGCTGAAATGAAAGCAAGGGCATTTGGGGTTAATTTTCCTCTTGCATCCAATAAGTCTTTGCAGTATTGAAGCCTTCATTAAAATGGATCCTGTGTTCCACAGGGCCGATAAAATGCAGTTGTTATTCTGCAAGATTAGATGCACGTCAGCCCAGAGTGGGTGGGCCAGGGTGGGTTTTCTGGCTGAAACTGGCTTGCAGAGTAGTTAGCAAAAAAGCAGGCAGAAGCCTCGGGGGAAAAAAAGCCATTCAAAGTCGTTTCTGTGACTTTGAACGGAGGCGTAATTCAAAGGGGGAATTTAACACTTGTTCTTTCTGGTTGTTTTTCTCCATGACCTTGAAAAAGTCACATGGATGAAATCAGACCCCAGATGGGTTCATTTTCTAACCGTCTTGTTTGGTTGGACTTTTTGAACCAGGGTTCTCCAGGTGTGTTTAGGCTACAATTCCCCTAAATCAAGGGATGGTCCATGAGAACTGTAGGCCAACACAATTGGAGATCATCCGGTTGGAACAAGGCCTAGTGATTGAAGTTGGTCATTCCATCACTTCCCACCACCAAAGACGCCACAGTTGCACCAGACATTATGAAGATATTTTATTGGCTTTCTAAAGCACAATGGAGTTTCAAAATACTCTTTCCAAATACACAGTATGTACAAAAAACATCAGGAACATGCACAGCACTTTTGGAAGTTCAACATGTCCTACTGGAAAATTGGACTCTGAGCTTCCAAAATCCCTTTTCTCCTCTGTTTCTTCACATCTCCTCCCAGTTCTTTTCTAGACAGTTAGTTCTTCAGACGCGGTAGTAGTAGCGCAGCTCCCAAGTTATTTTTGGAGAAAAGCTTTTTTTTTGCAGGGGGGGAATGCCTTCCCAGCAGGGGGTTTGAAAAGCTGAAAGCTGAAGTTTAAAAAGGGGATCTTCCCAGCCTCACAGATCTCTAGTCCAGATGGTTGGTGAGACCACAGATGAAAAGATGCAATTTAGCTTGTGAACTTTTCAAATCTGTATTTCAGTTGGAACTCAAGTACAGTGATTCTGGACAGCCTTTTGTGTTGCTGTGCTGAGATTTGCCTGTTATGAAATGCTTCTGTCAGCATATTTGCAGGACTCGGAGAGAATAATGTCAGTTCCAGTTTGTGACAGTGATTTCACCCTTTTGGTCGGATGATCCAGGCCTCGGTGCCCTCGTGTGTCCCTGAATCAAATGCCCTTGAAACACTGGTATTCTTCTTGCTATGGAGAATGGAAACACCCTTTGCAAGAAGAAGCTATAGGGTCTACTTTTTAAAGACTATTTTTGCCTAGATTGTAGCAAAATACATTTAAAATACTGTAATGTTTGCATCTTAGCACTTTTGGATCCAGAACGGTTTTACTGTTTGACAAATTGACGATCTGCCTCAGGCAGCTGAATTGGGGTAGCAATTTGTTGACCTTTTAGTTTATTATTATGTCTTGAAGCCATAGAGGGGGCAAACCCAACACGGGCTGGATTTTCTCCCCTAACTACAACACTTTGGGTCATTTCTCTTTGGATTGGGACAAGACAACTGCTGAAACGTTTCTGGAATCAACCACTGACGTTCAAGAAGGGTGCAGGAGAGAGAGAGGGAGGGAGAGAGGGAGGGAGGGAGAGAGGGGAAAGAAAGGTTTTTTTGGGAGTGGGTGGGGGGGATATTTTGTTCCCAAGAAAATCAGTCCATCAGTTCTTACATTCCGGTTATATGCAAAGATGGGAGCGTGCTCCAAACACTTGGGCTTTGCAAAGGGACAGATCTTAGGTCAGAAGCTTGTATCCAAGAGAGATGGAAAGAAGTTGTAGGATGGTGAGAAGGAATGAACTGGCTTGGGCCACAGAGACCGAACTGTGTGGATCTTTTGTCCACTGGTGGGAAGATGCAAAATTATGGTGGACTGTAGTGGTGTTGAGGTGGAGGTGAACATCAGAAGGGTTGCTGTGAAGAGTTGGCTTGTGGGGGCTGCTGGTTGGCTGGGAGACGGAGGATGACATGGAAGTGACCAACTCTGGAAGGAAAAATGGAAGCAAGATAAGCAGAGTCCTTTTGCTAGTAGAGACTTGGAGAAGTGGGGAGGCCTAGTTCCGGTGATGCCAACCCAAACACCTTTGGGAAACCCTCACCTCCCAGCAGGGATGTTCACAAGGAATGGTTAAAAAAGTCAAGTTGAGGTGAGCTGAAAGCTCTGCCTGGTTTTTAGGTGCAATGGAGTTTCAATGCACTGTCACTCCTGCCATATTGACTTTTTGATCACCCCCTGTGGACACCCCCGTCTCCCAGGCTTTCTTGGGGAAGGACAGCAATGCAGCACAGAGCACAAGTTTTGTGTACTGCCCTGAGCATCTGCAGAGTTTGAGGCAGGATGCTAAGAGTTGCAGTTAACAGCCAGAGCCATGGTTGGCCTGCTTTTGCACAACACACTGAATTCGTTCACTGAATTCATTCATATTCTAGCTTTGTTCAGTGCTTTGAACCCTAACCTAACCAAACTGGCTGGGGAGCCACAAAACCAAACCATAGTTGCAAATATCAATATTTTTGCAAGCAGTTTTTCCTAGGGAGGAGGAAGCTGCTAAAATTACCTCCTTCCAGGATCTTGGTCCGCAGCAGGGTGGTCCCATTGACAAAGGAGACAAAGGCCCTGTTTTGAAACAAACAAGCAGAAAAGAACGTGATGGAGAAAAGGAGGGAAGCTGGATCCCTAGAAAGTCGATCTTCTTTTTACACAGGAAAGCAAGAACAACTGTTTAATTTCAGTTTCAATGTGTAGCTTCCTATTGTGCTGGGTGTACAACTCCCAGAATTGGAAGATACCAGAATGAGGCAGAAAGGCTTAGAAGAGCAAGCTTGATCATAACCAATATTCAGTTATTTGTCGCCCTCTTTACAAGGCATCCCCTGGTGATCAGAACCGTAGCATAAAAATGCTGATGAATCATAGGAAGAATAAAATAATTCTGTAGCTGGCAGGTGGTGTAAGCTAGTCTTTGATGCAGGTTTTGTCACGTTTGGCACTCGCTGAGTCTCTGATTTGGCTCTTGCCAGGAGGAGGAGTTCAGATTTCGGCAACGGCCTTCTGGCGTGTGAAGTGCTGTTCCTAGAGCTTCCCCTGAAACCACCTTTGCCTCGTGGAACTGGTGATGGAATCCCAGCACGTGACAGGCAAAATTCTCCACCTCCCAAAAAACAGACGGCGCTAACTGAAAATAGGGGGCCATGCATGCCTTTCTCAGACGAGCACTGAGCAACTGGATCAGGCCATTACCACCTGATTATCAACTTAAACCCTTAATTTTGATGGCTTCTCATCTGAGAAATAATTCTTTTCTCATACACAAAACATGTTCCTTTGCCTTTCTAATCTCGCTCATCTGTTAGGGCGCTCCTCGAATTAATTTAGCATGCTTGGTGAAAGACCTAAAAGTCATAGAAATCAAGGAGGCTGTTTAATTCAGCCCCCTGCGGGTCGCTAAAGCTACGGTACGTCTATCAAGCGGGGATTGGGCTTCTCCCTTCAGTCATTTAGGAAGGGAGGGTGCAGCACCCTCTACCAGGGGGCTGAATGAAAAAAAACAGGTAGATCCTCCAAGATGTTGGGTAACCTGAATGGCCAGCCCTAGGAAGCTGAAAAGAAGCACCTGAAGAGGTCACGTGCCTGTCCTCAGCTTCTGCTCTTCTGAGATATACTTCCCTGGTAAATGGAAGTTCTATTTAGCTCTTGGGGCTGAAAAACCTGTCTCCATTTTTTAAAGTTGACACTTGGGTCATTACCTTTCAGTCTAACCTTCCCCCTAGGATTGTGGCGAAGATAAAAAGTATGTGTGTGTGCGCGCACACAAGAAGGCATGCCTGTGTGAATCCCTGGAAGGAAGAGCGGGTGCACACTGAAGAGTAAGCTGCAAGGTCCTCGGAGCTGCTCCTTCTCTGGGATACCTCCTCCTAGCAATCCATCCGGGACCTCACCTTATTTGTGCGGATCCAGCGCTGGGAGCCCTTGGGGAACGCCAGCGTATCTGGGTGCCAGGGCCAGAGAAGTTTTTCTGCATCACGCTCTCCGTGGCACTGCAGTGGATCGTTTGGTGTTCCTCTTCCCACGAGCCCCCAGAACTGTTCTCAGGAGGCACAATTTGCAAGATAACCGAGGTGGCCTTCTCTGCTCCGGTGACAGATACTGGAGAGCAAAGGAGAAAGCAAAGGGTACTTTTGTTTGGGAGAAAAAGCAAAAGGGCCCTGGGGTGGTGAGACGCCGGGGGGGGAAATTCCAGGAGGTCTCAAGCCAGGCTGGGTCCGGACTTCCAGCATTCCTGTCTGTGGGCTGCATCTGACTCATAAGGTGCGGCTAATCTCAGGTTGCGTTTCGATGGGACGCGGCTGGCATAAAAGAGCGGGTTGCGAAATGGGGAAAACACCCGTATGAACCAATACGCTGAACGTTTCGTTAGCTGGCCTCCGTGTTCAGCTCCTGCGGCAGGGATCTGAGACAGCGGGCCTGCCTTGGTGGAGGCCGAATGGTCTGGACCCCCCCCCCCATTATTCTAATCTTACAGTTCTCTTCTGGATGAGAAGGAACCTTTAGGAAGGCTTTGAACTGATAGAACGTAGAATTGTCCTCCCTCACCAAAATGTGGTCTGTAAATCCTGCGTCAGTTCAGTCTCCTCTTTAACCATCATATGGCAAAAGCTGGCCTGTCCCCTCTCCTACTGTTTCCTTGGCCTGAACTGAAATTGCAGCCCTTGGGGGGGGTCAGAGAAGACCCCCATTGCTTCCAGCATTCTCCTGCTTTGGAAATTGGTAAGGGTTCCTGCAGTCCGGCGTGGAACACTTATCCAGCCACCCGTTCAGAAATGTGGGATGGGTCTGCAGAGATCCTCTGAGCTTGTCGCCTTGCAAGGGGTGAAATAACTCTGGCCTGTTTCATAGGTCCAGGCCAAGAAACTGCCTCTCCCTGAGGTTGTGACAGGAGGCGTTGGCCCCCAAGTCTTGCAGTGCCCGTGGTAAAAGAGAGGTCCCGCTCATGACCGTTTTTTAAGGAGGGCAGGAACTGGAGAAGTCTCTCTCATTCTTTGGAAAAGGGCATTGCAACTCTCCGTCGCTGGTGGGGTTCAGCTGTGGGTTGGAGGCTCTGCTGGGCTCCTGGCTGAAGAGGTCTATGAGGGTTCAGCAGCCCAGTGGATAGTTGAACAAAACCCTTTGGGCTCAGCTCTCAAGTGGGGTTGAACATGATGCTCCCCACTGATATGAGGTCAGCCCTTCAAGGTAGTCTAGACAGGAGTACCAACACCATCCTTATTGTAAAGTTACAGCAACAGAATCTTGCAAGTCTGAAAGCCCTTCTCCCCTTCCTCACTTTTCCTCCCCCAAAAACTAGGGAGAGTCCCTTCTGAGACGCTTTCTGCACCCCCACCCCTCAGAAGTCTCTTTTCTGAGATGCTGTCTGGGCTGCAGCTCTTCCTCCTGTCTCCCAAGGTTCTTCTCACATCCCATTACACACGGGCCACACCCAGGGGCATCTGCGAGAGGAGTGTGTGTCAAAAAAGTCAAGATGGCAGCTGTGATTGGGTGGTTGGAGGCTTGTCTGACCCTCTTTGTGGACCTCTCTCTTTAGACCCAGTGGTTGTGCTGGGTTGGAAGATGGATTGCATCTTCCTTTCTCCTCAGCTGGATTTTCTGTTAGAAAGCTACTCATCGAGAACTGCACGGCAAGGGAGGACTAATTCCTAAAGCATTTTTCCCGGGAAAAACTTTTCTAAACCACATGCTGTTCTTCTTTACCACCACAAACCTGCAATGTGGGTCATCCATAATTCCTCATTTTACAGATTGTGCAATGAATCCTGCGCTGCCAGAGACCCATTGCTTCAATTGTCCTCTCCTGTTTCCAGCCTGAATGGCAATGCCTCTGGGAAGAAGCCCTGTTGCTCCCTTCCCTGCTGGGGTCAAGTAATAGCATACATCAAACTCCACTTGGAGCAACCTAATTTCTGGAAGGTTCTTCTAAAAATCGGAACGAGCGTTCTATCAATTCTGTGGGCGTCTGCTGGAATCAGAAGGCGGATACTCATTTGGAGAGCTGAAATTTGGCGAGAGACAGCCTGGAACTCCGCACACCAGAGAACAAAGCCAAGGCGCGTTTTGCAGCATCCAGGTGGGACCTGCCGGGTGCACGTACCTGTATAGATGGCCCCAGGCTCATAATAAAGAGGATCCACATCCAGCCGGAAGGAGCCTTGTGCCACCGTCTTCCTGACAATCTCGCAAGGGGGCTGTTGGGAGTAAGCTGGCAAAACCAGCGATGCCCCAAGGAAGAAGAGCTGCATCGTGAGCTTGAGCCAAGCCATCTCTCACGTTTTCTCCCTCCCTTTCCTCTGGCTTCCTGCTCCTCCGCAAGGTTCACCTGGTCTGCCCTTGAGATCTACGGAAGGACGGCCGCTGGACAAGCTCTTATATCCTCTGGAGGTTGCACATTCTTTCCCTTTCACACCCTCCCTGGTGGGAGGTTTCAGAGTGGTGACACATTTGGGATGCTCTTCCTTCTTTGCCGCTGCTAAACGAAACCCAAGTGACCTACGGGGTGTGGGACCACTGCAGGTTATGTTATCATGACTTAGATTGCCTGCGAGGCGTTGTCTTTAGAGAGGAGAAGAAGAGCTTCCTCTGTTGTCATCCAAGCAACTGAGCTGGTTTTCTCCACAAGTTTCTATTTTTGTGTCCTTATCTGGATCTGCATCTCCGGAGTGCAAGAACTTCAAGAGATGCCTGCAGATCTCTCAGGCAATCCAGCATTTTATGGTCTCTCCCCAGGGAAGTGGAGAATGTTTGCCAGGCAAAGTAGCCATAGGATATTGTGGGAGAAGGGCTGGGTTAGTTTGGGGCAGGAGTCCAGTAGCCCCTTTTCCAATTAGCACATTTTATGGAAAGGCAACCCTCCCCACCCTTCCCCACAGCTGTCCCTGGAAGGTTCACGTGCTTTGGGGTTTCTAGTCTCACCCCTCCCTGGACCAAATGGCAGCCAGCATTTCTGAAGGTGGAGATTCCACCGTCACGAAGGGGAGCCTTTCAGGCATGTTGAAAACGCACACCCTGCTGCCAGGGGAAGAACAGATAACAGCCCCGAAGGCCTTAAATAAAGGCATTCCTTGAATCAGGCAATTCCGATAAAATAATCTCCCTCTGGGTTAAAAGCCAACCAGGAAAGACAATGTGTGAATGTCTCACTGCGCAAGAAGTTATTTGAACAGGACATTCTGTTTCCAGCATTCGGCCTTCTGAAAGGTGACGACTCAAGGTGACAACTCGGCTTGCTTCGTGCCTCGCTTCATACCTCTGAGACTCTGCTGCTTTCGATTGCCCTCCAGCTCCCATCAAGTCCAACATGGGAGTTGTAGTCCAGAAATGTCCAGGCATTGAGTTGCAGAAGGCTGGACCGGCCCAACATGCTGGACGGCTGCCAAGTTGGCTTGACCAGGCTGATTTTCAAATGTTGCGGGGCCTTTGGGAAATAATCTTAGTCCATAAAGGCAACCCTTTATGGACTTTTTGCTGAAAATGGGAAAAAATGAACTCATGATTTATGGGTTTCATGATTAGAAAGGGTAGAATATGAAAAGAAGGGAGCCATGATGTAACCTCAGAGAGAAAGAGAATAAAATATACATGCATTTATAGCTGCTATAAAGAAAATCAGAAGCTGTTTCTTTACATCTCTTTTTCTTTCTTTCTTTCTTTCTTTCTTTCTTTCTTTCTTTCTTTCTTTCTCTCTCTCTCTCTCTCTCTCTTTCTTTCTTTCTTTCGTTTCTATTGACTTATCACTTTTACTTTTCTTTATTTCTTTTTTCTTTAATTTTGTTTTGTTTCTAACTTGTATAAAACTTCTTTAATAAAATATGTTTTTTTTAAAAAAGGAAATAATCTTAGTCAGTCAATGGGACTTGCCTATGGATAAAGACCATGCTTTTCCAGGAGGACGTCTAACTTAAATCCAATCTTAAATGCAAAGAGATGTTGCTCGAGGCTTGCAGGTGTGTGCAAGGCCTTAGGACATTTTTTCAAAATTAAAGTAGCATCCGTGTGTTCATACATGCATTCGGTTCCTTTCTCCTGTCCCGAGTTTCATAAGATTTGCAAGCACAAAAGCCTTGGATTTCTTTTTAAGACTGCATCAAATGGGACATTCTTTCTTGCATTCTGAGAGATACGTTGATCCCACGTCCTACAGCGCAGGCTCACTGGAATTCATTTTCTGAACAGAAGCCCTTCTGCCCTTTCTCCATCCAGATCAGCGTGGCTGTTTGTTCTTTTAGGTATGAGATTATTTGCTGCCTGAAATCTAACAGATTTGGCTTGCAGAATTTATTGCAAAATAGAATGCAGTAAAAAAAAAAAAAATTAAAATAGTGAAATCCAAAATCCATTTCCCCAAATTAGGTACTACAATTAATGAGCTACAATTTATCTGGGTTAGGGTGCCACTGATTATAACTAATCCCCATGATAGCAAATATGAGAGTAATCAGAAGTTCTTTTTTTAGAATTATAAAGTGTTGAATGTTAGGGGTTTTTTTGTTTTACTATTGTAAGATTTCCCTCCCCAGGTATTATCAAAATACATTCTCTACCAAAGAAATGCAGTTCCCTCACTGGCTCCTCCATTTTTTTGGTTCCCTGCGCTGCTCTTGCGTAAAAGAAGCTGTGCTGCTTATGAATATTCCATAGCTTCCGGCTGAGAAACTGGAACATGCTTGAAATTTCCATGACGTCACAGCAGCTCAGGCGTGGGCTGGATGGATGTCGGATGGCAGCAACGAAACCAGCGAGTGTCTGGGTGCCGGATCCTGTCCTTCCCAAAAGCAGGTTCGGCTTTGAAATATGCAAAAATAAAACCCAAGTTTTGGGGCAGATTTTCTGATCTGGGTGCAGATGGCTTGGCAGGCAGCTCCTCCCAAACCAGTAGCCTATTGTGTTTTTCACCGTGATTTCCTCCCAGGTGCAATTTCAACCCCCCCTCCCCCTGTTCTTTGAGGTGGATCATTAACTTTTGCTTGCTCCAGGTTATTTTTGCCCTCTGCCAAGGGCCAGTTGATGACATACAGCTGAGTCTCTGCTCTGCCCCCAGGGACAGGTTGCACCATCTCAGGTGAGGCAAGAGCAGAGAAGACACCTTACCCACTCCCGGTGGAAACCCTGCTGCATCTACATTCCCGCTCTCAAGTAGGCAGGCACTCGACTTTCTGGCTTCCCGGTCCTTCAGCTCAAAAGCCATTTAGGCTTGAGTGTGCACTGACTCAGTGCAGTCCCAGAGAACAGGTAGCCCAGGGCCTTCATGGGGGGAAGCCTTGAGTTCCATAGGGGAGGTGAATTGGGAGTCCACACCTGCTCCAGGGGGGAAACAAAGCATCAACTGGCCCTTTTCAGTAGTCCGTTTGCTTCCCTTTTGGAGCAAACTTCCCCACGCTAGTACAACAAACCTGGGGTAAGCTGTAGGGCACAGAAGAAGTGGAAGAAATGCAAAGGTTTGCTTTCCTTCCTTTCTTTGGGACTTCTGTTGGACCATGTCTTGGTAAGCTAGCCTGGGGAATAACTTCCCAGCTGCTTGCATATACATAGCAGTTTCTTCTACACCAGGATGCCAAACTTCCATCTGATGATTGTCCCCACCCCAGAAAACTTGCTCTGCCATTTCTGTTTGGTTGGATTTAGAACAAACAAATCCTGTAGAGCAGTAGAATGGGAGGAAGTGGAAATAGAAAAGTATGGATTTTAGCATTGATTACCCATTTCATTAAGATGTTCTTGATTAGATGGTAATGGGGATTTAACTTGCCATTTTTCATATTTTATTAATTTTATCTTGCTCTGGAGAGATAACAATGCAATGCAAAGTTGGGTGGGAATGGCTAGATGGATAAGACCAAAGGAAAGCCTTATCTTTTTGGGATTCAATCAATTAATCAATCAGTAAGGCAATCAGGCATAAATTTCTTGGTTTTTAGACATAACTGGTGTTAAATGCAGCTTGCAATTACAATTACAGTACAGTATATGAGGGGTATTTTTATGTGGGGTAGAAAGGATTGCCCCCAGCTCTAACAGCCAGGCTCAGGAATCCACAGAGGTAGAGAGATTTAGGGAATCACTCCTGATAAAAAGGCCAAATGAAGTCACTGAAACAGAATCTGCATTGATCAAATACTAAACAAGAGGAAAGGAAAGGGTCAAGGTCGTTTCCTGGTGATTTCCCGGGCAGTCCATGGATTATGGTCATGGTTCCCTATTGCCTTCTCCCAGGGTGCTTTTTCTGATTTCCTCGTCTAGCTTAAATTCCAGGATTTCCTTGGTGATCCCCCTCCAAGTCCTAATTAGGTTTGATGCTGCCTGGCTTTCTGGCCTGGACCAGCTGGCCAGGCGCTGCCATCTGCTGAGACTTCCAACAGTCTAGCCCGGCCAGGATGGGGAAGGCTGGGCAGTTGGTGAAGCTTTGAAGTTAACAGTTGAGGAATTATAAGAAAAAATAGGTCAATAAACAAAGAAACCAAGTCTTTAAAACATTTCTTCTTCGGATGCTTCTGATATAAGGTGGTGGTAAGTAGGTCCCTTCGGCTCCTTCCTGGCTTCTCAGTAGTGGTACATCACAAATGAGTAGGCTTTTTTCACGATGTCCAATCAGTACGATGAGTTGAGATGCACAACTTTTTCCAAGTTAAGGACTACCTTGGCCTTTGAGAAGCAACGTGATGCAGAAGAAACGGCGTTGGGCTATGACCAGGACGACACAGATTCTAGACCACTGTCAACCTTGGAAGATCCCTGGGGGCCCACTGCTCTCTCCTTGCCTCAGCCTGAACTACTCACAGGGTTGCTGTTATGGAAGAAGTTTGGTAGAAGGAATGCTATGGAGAAAAGACAGGGCTTAAATCTAATAAAATGAGGGAAGGTGTATTGTCAGGGTGTCCCTCTCTGAACGTTGAGGAAAGGTGGGGAATGCATCAAATAAATAGAGAAATCCATATGACAGATTTGCTTCTCTAAATATGATTAGTAGGACTGCCCCCTCAATATGTAATACCCATCAGGTTAAATACTGCAATCTAAAATATTTAGACTTCCTGACACGGAGGGAGAAGAAACTTTGTGAGAATGGATGGAAGCCATTTGTGGCCTGAACACAACTGACGTTTCTGGGAATAGCACATCTCCTATTGCCAAAGAAAGAAAGAGATGTCCATGTTGGGAAAGAAGGAAGTTGGCCATTCATAATGCCTTCAAGACACGTTACCCTTCATACCAAGTGCATCTGCTCAGAGACCTCTTCCTCCTCCTTTGTAGTTCAGATTATCATCCTGATACTAAGATTTTTTTTTAAAAGAAGTGTCCTGTGGATG